TCGTCACCTCTTCAACACTGTGACAGAATGAGTGAGACAGTCATTTTAAAAAGAAGAAAGGTTTGTTTGGCTAGGCTTCCGGAGGATAAGTCTATTATGACATGAAGGACATTATAAAACGAAGCAGCTTATGTCTCCTGGGCTGTTACTTGTCCAGTTGAGTTGACAATCAAGAGTAGCCATCACTTCTCTTTGCCACAGGGACCATTACAGGAAACCACTGGGATGGCTAAGGTAAAGCCATCTTGTCCCAACCTTTATTTTGGGTCTTCTTTGATCAACATGGGTGTCGATAACTATCTCACATGGATCATTTCACCACAACTGGTCAAAATGTGAGGTCCTTAGCCCTAATGAATACATCTACAACAAAACTCCTGCTCCTAAGACTCAGGTAATATTTCAGAAGAAAGATTATAAGATCCAGAGGCTCAGCAAGTATGTGAAATTCTGTTTTTTAGAAATGACAGGGAAGCTTCAGCCATGATACCCCAACAACATGGCTGCTTAACCAGGACCTGAGCAAGGACCTCAATAGTAGACATGCGAACCTGGAAGGGATAAATCTCACAGGGTCCCACCCCTAGACAAAGAACTACAGGCAACTAAGGAATGCTGAGAGCAGGAGAAGTAAGTAGTCTTCCCCAGAGAGGACCCCTTGATTGGTTATCTAATACTAAGTGGACAGCCCTGAAATCATGTACATGCAACACAGAACAGACTCAATAGAATGGGTTTATATGTAGGTACAGATACACAACACACACACACACACACACACATACACACATATGGAGTGGGTGGCGGTGTCATAAAAAGGAGTTAGAGGGAATAAAGGGAATGGAGGGAAATGATGTAATTATATTTGATTATTTCTTAAGTTTATCCAACACACACACACACACACACACACACACACACACACATATACACACACACACACCACAAAAGAGAAACTTTCCCAGTTCCCTTAAAAGGAGAAAGGGTGGGTGGGAGAGATGGCTCAGTGGTTAAGTACTTGCTGAGCAAGCATGAAAACCAGAGTTTAGATCATCAACATCCAAGTGAATGCTAGGTGGTCATTGTTAGGGTCCTGGAAAAGTCCCACAAAAGAGCATCCACCATCCACGTATGCAATCAGTAAGAACCTTTGTTATTCCAGCATGCTGGGGCCTGCCATCCCATACAAAGGCAAGATGGTGAAGACCCTGAGAGAGATGTGTGAGTTCCTTTTAAGCATAGTGAAGGGGAGGTCCTAAGGCAGTTAGGTCACTTTAGATATGATTGGCTCAAGCAAGTGGCAATCATATCAGTACATTCTGATTGACCAGGGCTAGTTAGAGGCTGGTTAGGGTACAGTTTTCCATTTGGGGGCAGGCCTGGATAAGTCCCTGGCTTTGTTCTTGAGCTGCTGTGGAGGTTGGCTGCCCAATTACATACTGACTGTGGGGGTTGGCTCATTGACCCAGGCTTGGTGCATACTATCTTCTTTATCCCTGTTGTCAGGGACACCAGTGATTAACTGCCCTTTGTAGCTCTTCCTCAGAAACTGGCTGCTCAGTTCCATAAAGCAGGGACCAAGGCCTAGTCCTCTGAGAGAAGACTAAGCAGCCTGTTATGGTGTCTGCTCGGTCCTCTCGGTCATAGCAACTCACCTGTAAGTCCAGCCTAAGAAAGTAGACACAGGACCTCCCCAGAGGAATCTAGCTAATAAGACCAGACATATCAGTGAATCATGGCTTTGATGGAGAAATTTTTCTCATTGAACAGGGTGAGAGAAAGATTGAGGATGATTCACACTACCAACCTTGGACCTCCACGTGCACACACTCACACGCATGCACACTTGGACTCCAGTGCTCTTAAGCCTGTGATAAGGCAGAACATCATTATAGAAATACCCAGCAGAGAAAGCTAACTCATGGCAGCCAGGGAACAAAAACAGAGAAAGAACAAGACCAATATCCCTCTTAAAGGCACACACCCATAGGATCAATCTTCAAATTCTTAGACATCCCACCACCTTCCAATACCATCTGTCATGATTAATCTTGTTGGCCTAATTGGATCTGGAATGATCTAGGAGCCATGCCTCCAAGAAGGTCTGGAAGGGAATTTCCAAGAAGGATTAACTGAGGGGAAAGACAGGCCCTTTCCAAGAGGGGGTGGAAGCTTCCAGAAGCCCAGATACAAATAGTAAAGCCTTGAAAGAAAATTCCATCTTCCCTTTGTACCATTTCCTTCCAGAGCTCTCTCTCTCTTCCAAACTGCCACCTCTTTTGAAGACAAGGACTAGGGCTTTCAAATGTTTTATTTGCTTGTTCATTTATCAGTGCTGGGGCTGAACCCAGGTCCTTGTGCAAGCACTCATCACTGACCCAAACTCCCAGTTTCAAAAACTGCTTTTATTTACTCCCCCACTGAATGTTCCCAGAGCCTAGAAAAGGCTGGGCCACAAGGTAGAACTTTGCTTTAAAAGATCTATAAGACTGGACCCCCATCATGTTTCCAACATTTGCCTGTCCTTCAATTCCCATACCTCACATGAACGCCACCTGCTTCTGTCTCATGAAATTACCTTTCATCCCTCAAAGCCGTCATGCATGGTGCACATCCATCTCTCTCTACACTTTCGTCTACCTAGAATCATCCCTAGAAATGAGCAACAGGACAAAGCAGAGACTGTCAAATCCTCAGCCCGTGACTAAAGTTCCCTGCCTTTAGGGGCAAATAATACTTTATGAGAAGATGTCCATACATATTTGTTTATGTATTATGAACAGCTGTTTCGGCACAGCTAGGGCAGCACTGAGCGGGAGCTACTGAGACCGTAGCAACTAAAGTATTCGCTTTAGGGCTCTTTACAGAAAATTGCTGCTAACCTTGTGTTAGAGCAAAAGCTCAGACTGGGGATGAGACAGGCCTCAATATGAACCCTGCACTGCTCATCAGCATGCATATGTGGACATGAGTAAGACAGATGTGTGCATAGGTAGATTAATGATGCATACATGCATACGTATAACACAGATAGATTATGATAGATGATGGATAGAGAGATGACAGACACATGATTGATAGATGATAAAAGGAAAGACAGGCACACGGATACTAGATAGACAATAGGTAAATGTGGTGATATTTTATTTGTGCTCTAACAAATAAAGCTTGCCTGGGGACCAGAGGACAAAGTCAGCCACTATATTAAACATAGAGGTCAGGCAGTGGTAGCACACGCCTTTTTTCCTAGCATTTGGGAGGCAGAAATTCATCCAGAGCTCTGTGAGTTCAAGGCCACACTGGGAACAGAGCCAGGTGTGGTGGCACACACCATTAATCCCAGCACTAGTTAAGCATAGAGGTCTGCAGGTCTGTACAGACAGACAAGAAGCGATAGAGATGGGTGGAAAGAGGAAGTGATGTAGCTGGGCAGAGAGAGGAAGTAAGATGGCAGGGCTCAGAAAGGTATATAGGCGTGAGTATACAGGAAGTAGCTCTCTCTTGAGCTGAGGATTTCCTAGTGGTAAGAACTTGTGGCTGGCTTGTTCTATTCCTCTGATCTTTCAGCTTTCACCCCAATATCTGGCTCTGGATTTTTTTAATTAATATGACCTTTTAAGATTCATGTTACAGGAAGATAATAGATGATATACAAATAGATACACAGATAGATGATAAAGAGATAATACAGATGATAGGCAGATAGGTACATAGATAGATGATAAACAAATAGATATATAGACGATAGATAGTAGATAGATGATAGATATATAGATGATAGAAAGAAAATAGATGATAGGCAGATAGATGATGATGATGAAGATAGACCTCACCTCCAAGGAGGCAGGAATCCTGGGAAGGAACGTGCATTATCCCTCCTAGGGCTGGCCCCTTAGGTCCCTGACCTGTGCTGTGGGATTGGCCCTTAGGGAGACACGGGACAGTGTCTCCACCTAGCGGTGGATTCTATTCTTTACACAGGCAGAGACAGCAAGCGTCCTTCCGTGACCAACGTCAATGGCCACGTGTATTGGAAGCAAGAAAGTGCTTGCTACTTAGTTTCTTTTATTAGCGCCTATCGATTATATATAATAACGGGTTTCATGTTTTCATATATACATGTATGTATGTATGTGTATATATATATATGTATGTATTGTATTTTGGTCCTATTCACCACCATCACCCTCTCTTGTCCCCATCCCTACCTCCACTCATCCCCTTCCTCTTCCCAGCTGGCCTCTCCTCTATGCTCACATCTTTTTCTTCTCCTTGGGTGACCCAATGAGCGTCATTACGACTTCTTCAAGGAGCATGGATGAGGAGTCATTTACAGGAACCTGGGCACCTTACCCATGGCTACATCACTAAAGAAAATGTCTCTCCCTTCCCCAGCAACTGTGAACTGCCTATAGATCCTTGAGGGAGGCTTGGGAGCCCCTCCCCCACCCGTGACAGACTATTCGAAGGCCCAATCTTGTGGAAGGCTTGTGTAGGGAGCTGCTGTGGGTTCATGGCCATCTCATACCCAGATGACGGCGCTCCTCAGCACTCCACCCCATTCTCCGGCTCTTACATCCTTTTTGCCCCCTGATCCTGACGTCCGCAATGTCCCTTGAGCCTTATAGTAGAGGATATAGATGTCCCATTTAGGGTTAAGCATTAAACAGTCACACGAAAGTGATTTTGTCTTGAGTTAGGGGCAGAGAATAGGAGGCTTTCAAAGCAGTCTTCCTGTGGACTCTGGTGACACACCCATGGGTGACCTCAAATGCCACCCATTAGATCCCACCTCAAAGGTTCCATTGCAGCTACTTGGAGGCATCATCCCGGAGAGTGAGCCTTGAGCCATGGGGGACCCTGAAGAATAACACAGGTACAACCCAACCACAGTACTTATGAAAAGAGAAGTAAAGAAAGACACCATCATTTCAACATAGATGCTTATGACAAGCCCATGGGGTAAAATGGTTTTTCAGACCAGAATCAGGAAGCAGACAGGGGTTTCCATGAGAATGCCGTCCTGAGGTGGCTGAACATGCCATCTCCAGTGTGTAGAGGGAGTCTTCACTGAGAAGCGGGGCTTCCGCGTCCACTTTGTAAACTGTGGTCTTGGTCACTTGAGGCTGGGACGGCTACAGAATGTCTTCCATGGATTCGGTTATGTTTCCTTCTGTGTTTATCTGTGTATGACTTTGCCTGGAGAAAATGAGCAAATGCCTATTCATGCCAGCAAGAGACCAACCAGATAAGTGATCACAGCCAAGCCCATCTTAGTGGGGTTCCTTATGACTGAGTGGTTACTTCCAAAAACAGAGATGCCTCAAAAGTAGCTGCATCCCTGAAAAGTCCACCCCAGCCTGGGTGAAGAATCATGAAAGGTACATCCCTGGAGTCCCCTGCATGGCCTACAGACAGCCTGGGCCACTTGAGACCCTGTCTCAAAATTTCAAAGGGAGCTAGTAAACATATGGTGCTGTGGGACGGTCTGTATGTCAAATTGCTCTGATTGGTCAATAAATAAAACACTGATTGGCCAGTGGCCAGGCAGGAAGTAGGCAGGACAAGGAGAGAGGAGAATTCTGGGAAGCAGAAGGCTGAGGCAGGGAGACACTGCCAGCCGCCGTCATGACAAGCAGCATGTGAAGATGCCGGTAATCCATGAGCCACGTGGCAAGGTATAGATTTATAGAAATGGATTAATTTAAGATACAAGAACAGTTAGCAAGAAGCCTGCCATGGCCATACAGTTTGTAAGCAATATAAGTCTCTGTGTTTGGGTCTGAGCGGCTGTGGGACTGGCGGGTGACAAAGATTTGTCCTGACTGTGGGCAAGGCAGGAAAACTCTAGCTACAATATGGGACCAGAGAGATGGTTCAAGGAGTAAAGGAGCTTGCCACCAAATCTGAGGACCTAAGTTCAATCCCCGGGACCCACATGCCAAGGCAAGAGTGCGCGAGCACACACGCGTGTGCACACACACAATTAATTAATTAAGATGTAATAAAGTGATATCTTTAAGCCCACCAACAGCTCACAGACATGTTATCAAACCTGTCTTTTTTGTGTTGCTTTGTATCTTAGCGTTTCCATTGCTGTGATAATCACCGTGACCAAAAGCAACATGAAGAGAAAAAGTTTTACTTCCGATTACAGTTCCACGTCATGGCCTACCATCAAAGGAAGGTCAAGGACAGGCACTCGAGGCAGGAACTCATGCAGAGGCCATGGAGAATGCTGCTTACTGGCTTGTTCCTCATAGCCTTCTCAACCTGCTTCCTTATACCATCTAGGACCACCTGCCCAGGGCTGGTACCTCCCACAGTGGACTGGACTCTCCTGTACCAATCACTAATTAAGAATATGCCCCACAGGCTTGCCCATCTGGCCAATCTTATGGAGGCATTTTCTCAATTAGGATTCCCTCTTCCCAAGTAAGTCTAGGTTCCTGTCAAGCTGACAAAATCCAATGGCCGCACTTATGGGGGATGGTGTTTGTTGTTGCTGTTGCGATGGTGGTAGTTGTGGTTTTTTGTTTTGTTTTATTTGAGATAGGGTGTCACTATGTACCCAAATTGACTCAAATTCATGATCGGGGTGTCACTATGTACCCACTATGTATGTAATCCACCTGCCTTAGCCTCCTCAGTCCTTGAATTATAGGTGTGAGTTACTATGCTTATCATATTTGTTTTTTATAGTGGTGATGGTGGTGGTGATGCTGGTGATGGTGGTGGTGGTGATGATGGCAATGGTGGTGGTAGTGGTGATGGTGGTAGTGATGGTAGTGGTAGTGGTGGTGGTGG